GGGAAAGCGCGTAAAATGCAGTAAAAATATGTGTTATACTCAAATGAATGTGTTATGATTTCTCAGGAGTAGTCATTTCTAATCATTATAATAAATCATTATTAAAAAGATGTTCTTGAAATTATTCAAATTTTTGCTAATATAAATATATGGGCTAGAAAATTGTACGTATATTATGAATGTTTCGTAAAATTAGGAAATTTTTGTGAAAAAAGAAAATCCTTTAAGCGAACGAAAAAAGGAAGGAAGAAACTTTCAAACCTATAGATGAAGAGTAATATATGGCTGTAGTAGCAACAACAAGTGGTTTATTTGCATTGACATTATTAGCAAAAGCAACGGATGGGTCAACTGGTGATAGGCATCAAGTCTTTCTGACATGTATAGAAACGTGTATAAGAAGATATAACTGTCCACGAAAATATGATGAGATTGGTTGGATATTTGGTGAATGTTTCAAGTAAGTATAAATTATAAATTAATTTAATAGATGGATTATTTAATTAAAGATTTATGCATAATATATTATGAGTTATCTTTTAAAATTTTCGAAATTATCTAACATTCTTGTTCCTTGACTGATATTGTAGTAAATATTTAATTGCTATTGTTTTTGTTTTCCTAATTTAAAAGTGTTAATTGCAGGTGTCGTTATAGTTGTAAATGGAAAACTGTGGAATATTTTAATGATGTCTTACATCAATCTGTGCCACAGTTTTATGGTAAATGGCCATTTTTAGCTATTTGGCTTCCATTCATTGTACCTCTTCCAATACAAGTTAGTTTTCTACTGTTTATTTATTAGGAAATATTTTGTCCTTCTTTTTTTGTCTTTGTTTTTATCTTTAATTATTCACGTTTTCTTCTGCTCTTTTTCCTCATTTCCATCCATTTCATTTAACACTTTTTTTTTCAGTTACAAAACAATACTGTTTTCTTTCAGGAATTTGCTTCTGTTATATTTTCAATAATGAATTTGCTCACGACGTTATCTATGTATCGTACAGTTAAACGTCTTCGTAATTCAAATCGTTTAAAAATCGTTTGGATTGTTAATTCGATGATTGGAATTGTAATGTGGTAAATAGATGTTTTTTTTTTTGTGTGTGTATGTATGTGTTTGAAAATTGAGAGATATTGAAAATTTGGGGATTGGTTAGACTCAAAGATTCAGTGTTCATTTTTTTTTTAAGAATTAAGACCGGTTCTGTTTATAGAGAGGGCAAATATATTATCTTAGTGTTCTATTTGCCGTTATGAATCTCGATTTCTAAATATCTAAATCAGCTCTCCTGTGTAATATCAAAAATTTTTTCAGGACATGTTCAGTCATTTTTCATTGGGCGGACTTTTGGTTAACCGAATATTTGGATTACTTCACTGCATGCGCATTCATTGTATTTGCCCTTTTTGCTAGCATTTCATTTACCATTAAGTCACTTCAAAATTGTTACCAAGGAAGGATATTGTAAGCGAATACATATTTTTGTCATCAATTGCCCAGTAATATTTGTTTATTCAAATGAAACCAATATAGTAGATGGAATTAAATGATCATCTTTGTTCGCTGTTGTTTTAGGACCAAAAAGTGTCTCAATTTGTTTCAGTTTAGGTGGTTCTTCTTATTTATCACTTTCCTATATCTGTATGCAAATCATATATACAATCTTATGGTTAGTAATTGTCTTTTTCAAAACATTTCTTACAAATATTGTCCTAGAAGAATATAAGAATTATCGATCGATTATTCAAATGATTACATTTCACTTAGAATATAAAAGGTTCTTCCTGGGGAATTGTAGTTTAAATTTTCGTTTGCGAATCCATATATTGCAGAATTTTCATATATTACAGATATATTTCGACTACGGTTACAATATGAAAATGTGTATTGCATGTTCATTCTTTACATCTTTTATTTACTATATATGGCTGGTGCAACAATGGAACCTAAGAGATCGTTCAAGTAGACGATCGTTATCATATTTAGCTGTAGTTGTCACCTGGGGCTTGTTATCCGTCCTATTGGAGGCATGAGAGTTTTAATCTTTGATTTAATTTGTGAAAGAATTTAGTGTACCGATTAATGAAGTATTTTTTTTTTCTTTCCCTCCTATAATTAATGTAGAAAGAAATACTCTTTAAATCTTCAAATTTTTTTTTTTTTTGTCGAGGTATTAGGAATTATCAAGCATTAAGTAATATTATCTGTATCAAATCTATTGATAACACTGCAGATAGCTAAATTTATAATATAGAATTCTAATCGCAAAAAATTCAACGAAGAAAAATTTGACTTCTGCAAAAGTTCTGAGATGTTCTTTTTATAGTGTTTCTTTTTGCATTGCCGAAATGGACAAAGAAATGTAGTAGTCGAATATTACTTTTGTTCTTCTCTCTACAATTTCATTTATTTGGCAATTTCAGGTCCTAGATTTTGTTCCATTATATTGGATTATTGATTCACATTCATTATTTCACTTAGCAACGGTGCCATTACCATTACTCTTGGCTCGTTTTATACAGTTGGAAAGTGCATATGAAATACAAAAGCAAATGGAAAATATTAAGCAGACTTGAAACATATCTCTCTAGTAATGTTAGTGATATGAAAAGATTTGATATGCAATATGTAAATTCTGTGTGATTTGTGTGATTATTTATTTCATTATGGATTTGCATTAGTTAATAACTGTGATAAAAGCTTTGATATCTCAAACTTATTGATGACATCTTTATTAAATGAATTTAGCAAAAGATAATCTTGATTGCTTACATTTAGAATAAGAAACATTTCGAGATGACAGTGAAGTCTAAATAATATTTTGACTGATGTGAGCAATCTATTTCTGGGAAGTATGCGTTGCATGACGTGACATCTGAGCGGGAAATACATTCAAAAAAAGAAAAATTAAACATTTGAACAATATCAAAGATGTTTTCGGATTACATTAGAAAGTAGAAGAATGCTTCACTGATAGGTAAATTATGTTTGGCGTATTTGAATTTTGTACAATAAATAGTTCATAGTTTAAAAAAAAAAGAGGAACAGGAAGAAAGGAAAGCATTTGTGAAAGGAAGCAAATTTTTTGAATATTTTTAGATGCTGTTGACATTTAGGATGAAATACATTTATAATGGAAGTGTTTGAAGTGCTTTTTTTTATCAATCAAATTTTGCATATTTCAAAGAACATAGAAAAAGATGTTTCGACGAAAAAAAGATCGAAATGTATTAGCAACCAAAGAAAATTTTAATAAATTGCCGATGGATAGCTCAGAAACCATTTCTGCTACTCCACCTCCTATAAATGGTTAGTTTATCATTGTTTAAGACGATCATCTTTGAATTATAAAATAAAATGGAATAAACAGCTTATACCAGTGAGTGGAATATATTACTTAGATAAGGACTTAGCAGATCTATCTGTCTATAAATATATGTTTCCCAGTTCCAAAGATTTCTTCAGTTAAATTCAACAATTTAAATTGGAGGAGTTATTTAAATATTTGGTGCTTTGATTTGAGCGATTACTTCTGGTTTAATCCATCTGGATTTAATTTATTAATGGTAGAATTTATTTGGAAATGTCATTAGCATATATTTTAGCATCATTTCAAGTATCATCCATAGCGGATGATGCATTCGAAAATGATTATCCAATAGTCGATGAAAGGGAGTTTCGTCGAGCTCTTGATCGGTGTTATACGCAGTCGCAAAATGGGAATGTATGTAAATTAAATTTTAGTAAAATACCTGCACGTACTGCGTTCGAGAATTTGTTAGAAGAAATGGGAATTGAAATCTGCACAAGTGGTGGTGATGAGATATCAATATATCTAGGTTAGAATTAATGTTCTTGAAAGTTTGCTTCTGGTAAGTTTCATCTCTTCTCATAACTAGTATTAACTAAACAGTGTTGCTCGCATAAGTTAGCGTGGTCATGCTAAGTTTATGTGACCTTTACTTCCAACATACAAAATATTATTTATAGGATAGATTAGCTGAGTGGTTTCCTTTTTTCCTGTAAATTCCATCCACACATTTAATTGTTGTGAGCAACATAATTAATAATTGTAGTCACGCATATCATTATGATAATGATTTGCAATTGATAATTGATTATAATATATTTGAATATTATATTTTTTACAGCAAATAGTTTTCATGATCTGGTAATGAAATTGGATGTATACTGCGAAGAAGATAATGTAAGACAGTTATATTATAATCAATATATTTTTACATTATACTTGTATACTTCTTCCTTATATTTATCGTCAAAAAATTTCTACTTACATTTATCTCATAAAATGTTATAGAAAAGAACGAATTTCTTCAATCTTTTCGAGAATGAAATTGTTGAACAATCTAAACTTAGAATATATTTATCACCTTCCGCTACCGAAGAGGGATATGTGGTCAGTAATCCTTTTTCAGTCAGATTTTCGTACATAATAAGACCCCTGAAAGATTTCTTTCATGCAACGCATTATATAGATCGTTTAAAGTTTGAAAAACGTTAACCAAACTATTATTAGTAATTTGTTTATAATTAACTTTCTCTCTAGTTATCAGTAGTTAGGATTTTTTGATTCTTAAATCATTTTTGATTCTTAAAGCATTTATAGGATACATTTATGCGAGCCCTGTTACTGTCAAATTCATCACAAGCCGTTACATTCGATTTAATGCTTAGAAAGATTGAGGCTTATGCAAAAGGTAAAACTGCAGAATTCTTTTATGAATAGAACTGATTATATTGCATCATGTAATTCGTTTGCTTTTTTTCTCTCTCTCTTTCCTTTGGTTTGAAAATATTGCAACACCAAGGTAATATTAAAGTTGTTCCTGTTCATTGTACCATACTTCAGTAGCATCTTATATTTTCGTTTGTTGTTAAAGTTTTTTCTTTTATTTTCTGCAAAAAAAAGCAAAAACAAAGTTCTAGGATATTTGCTCTTTTCAGCTAATTCAATTTTAGCGTTACTGATGATTTCATGGAGAATGACCGCCTTGCACTTGCCTGTATTGCACAGTTTCGTTATTTGGATAGTATATATGACTGTGAACGGATTTTTAATTCAGTTTTTGATTGTGATTTGGAGAGTTGGCGTTGTGCACCACGTGATGCTTTGATACAAGTTCTACCGGAAATTCTACCTAGTCACATTGTTCAGCAAGGTCGATTCTGTCGATGATTTCATTTATTAAATTTCTGAATTACCATTATTAGTATTTTATTAGTAAGAATGAATTAAAGTTATAATTTAATCTGGTCATGCTTTGTTCCTGGGTTACCATCTTCATAGTTTACAGTGCTGTCATAGATAATTTACCTTTATTAAAATCCATTTGTATTGTTTGCTTCAAAATGTCGTTCCTTTGCAGATACTGCAAATAATTTGCAACAAATGTTCCTGAGGAGAGTCAGTGACAATTTACTAGCCTTCCGAGTCACTATCCTTCAGACACTCCTTTTACTTCGTACTGATGAACAAACAACAAATAGAGTAGTTTCTATTTCAAAATTCAGTTTATTTTCAGGCCTAACAAGCTATTTTTTTTACTGTTGAGATTCTATATTTGTCTCCTTTTTTTCGCTCCGGTATTATTTGTAATTTATTTTGAATTTGAAATCTTCTAAGAGCTTCTAGAAAATGCACTGCTATATTCCATTGTTTGTAGATTCGTGGAATCATGTTGCAAAACCTAATGAAATTGAACCTGGAAATTTTGCCGGAATTGGTAGCATATTGCTTGGACAGTATTCAAAAAAATGAAAAATTTGCCTTCCGAAACATCCTCTGCAGTCTTCGAGTACATCTGCAGATAGAAAATTTAAAAAGTACAGAAACAGGAACAGGGTATTACATTTTGCCACCTGTAAACCTAAAAATTTTAAAGAAGTCCTATTTCGAGTGTTCATACTTTATTTACTGGTCTATGCTTACTTATTTTTTTTATTCTAGTTTTCTTTCTTTGGGAATTTTCTAGAGTTTTATTTTTAGTCTAATATTTCTATTTCTTAATCCTATTTTCTACTTTTTCTCTTTCTTTAATCACATCTTCAGATTTCAGTAAGAAAACGGTTGGCCAAGTAATAACCGAAATCTTCGAAATAATTTTAAAGAAAATGAAGAGCAGTGATGGACGTTATTGGAAGGACACAGTGGTTATGTTAACCACCGAAAAACAAGAGCAAAATGATGAGAAAGATGAAAGAGGTGATATTGACGAATCTATGGAAGATCTTGTTCCAATTGCAAAAAAGGTTCATTTTTGAAAGACGTATCTGAAATAAAAAAAGATCGGATTGAATGACCCGACTGATTTTTGCATTTCGCAAATGGCTTCTTGTGTCATATTATAAGCTATTTGTGTGTCATATTATAATATAACTTTATAATCGTTCATTACTTTTATAATCTCTGAGTTAACATTTATTAATTTTTTAATGTCATTTTAGGTGCCGGTTCTTTTTGATGTTTTATTTTATTTTGCTTTGATGGATGTGAGTAATTGGAGCCATACAATCCATAATATCTTCAAACAACAAATTTTATGCAATCAACATTTCCAGTTGGAACAACTTGTTATATTAGCTTTTGAATATACGGAGGTACCTCTTCTGTAGTTTAAATGACTTTAATAGCCTTTTTTTTTTCAATATTTTGCTCGGTAAAGACATGGACTGTACACGGAATTAAATGCAATTTAAATCATCTGTAACTCTGAATGAATCATTTGTCTTTTGACAATTCATATTTGGTATTTCTTACGCGAACAATTTTTTTTAGCATTTGAGTTCATGGATTTCAGTATTTAAAGTTTAAGAATTTCAGTTTATCATGCATTTTTTTCAATCAGTCTGTAATTTTTTCTGAAAATTTGATGTGGTCTCCGATGACAGTTTATATGCAATTTGGAGCTCATGGATATAAAACACTGTTTTTAAAACTTCCGTCGGAACAATCAAGGGTATAGTGTATTTCGGTCGCTTTTTGATATGAGATCTGAACTTATTTTACTAATTTTAAAGTCGGGAATTTAAAACGTTGTATATTTTTTGATGAAAAAGCAAGAGTGCACATAAATAGAATTTCTTCCTATTTTTTTCTTAATTTTCAGATTTTCGATCACATTATTCAACATTTAAGTGGAACGGAAGAAGAAATCACTACAACGCTTTCAATGTTGCAGAATATCGCGGAAAATCATGCTGGAGAAATGGCCAAGTTCTCTCTTGTCCTTAGTGTAGGCTTTCAATTTCAAGCTTTTGAAGGATTCAGTTTTTCCAGTTTTGACATAAATTTTGAAAAGAAAAATTATTTTGGGATGGATAATAACTCAGACCGTCCAACTAATTAATAATCCATGGTGCGATTGCACATACGTTCACTCTGGAAAAGCTACCATTACGTGGTTGATTTATAAATCCAATTGAAACAATGTTTCTAATATTAATTTTTTTCTCCAAGTTTTCCTTTCAGAAAAAAATACCATGTTTGATTAATTTTTCTTTCGATAATGTATGTCGATTTTTTAATATATTGCTTTTGATGGAACGAACTGCCGAACAGTCACAAATTACTGAAAAAGTAGGTTTGATGTTCCAAGAATAAGGCCTTACTACATATCATTTAGGATAATCAGTCAATGTAGTCGTTATCTTTAGTCATTTAGTCATTGACATCTTCCGCATTTCCAGATGTTTTTTTAACGGCTCTTCAATTTTTGACTGATTCTCAAGAAAAAGAAAAATGAAATTCTTGTATTTGAAATGCAAAGTTACGTTAATGACGTTCGGAAACGAATAATGAAAATGCTTTTTAATGCAGCACAAGGGATTGGAATTCGAAATTGAGCAGATGATATCTTCTTCTTTGGTTAGGGAAAAAGTATGGGGAATTCTTGGTATCTTAATGCAGTTGCAACAATATCTTATGAATAAGAGGTATCTTCATATACCCACATATTTCCAAAATTTGAGATGAACAGAATTTTTTTTTTTGGAAATTAATTCCGTTGTCGAAAAAGTTCCCTGAAAATCATCTAATAGTTAGTTAAATACGGAGGACAGCGTAAGTTCTTTGTGTTTCGACCTATTACTTTCCTATATGGGTTTTGTATAGATTTAATAGAAATAACGATATTATTGGAATGCGCATTTATGACTTTCTTTCGATTTTTCTTTTCATGTAAAGGCCATTAATTAATATTAACTTGAAATAAAAGAAAGTACTGTTACACAGATTAAACATCGAAGATCGTGAAAGCATGCTGAAACAAAAATTAACATTGCTGGATGAACGAACAAAACATAATAGTTATTTGCGCACTTGTTTCTATCATCATTTTGCAAGGATCCTGAATACCAGTACCTCAATTGGACACAGCACTGTTTTGGTTAATAATAATATTTATATTCATGATTAAATTAATCTTCAAAATAGCCTATATCGTACATGATTTTACAGCAATATTTTTCATTCTATTAATTGCTCATTTACCTTAATATGAAGTGAATTAAATTCTGTTTAATTTTAAGTACGTTTTTATAAATTATAGCATCGAAATTTTTTCACTGATCACACTGGATTAGAAGTAACCGTCGGGTCAACACATTTCGTTGTATTTACTTCAGGTTGTCTGGGCTGAAAGACTATGTTTAGAATTCAGGCGAGATTATCTAAAGCAACTTGAACGAAATTCTACGCAGTGGTAGTTGTTATTAATATTATTATTTCTGAAAATATTAATATTCTGAAAATATGCATTTTTCGTATTGATCTGTTGCAATATATTATTTTTTCATATAAAAGGAAATAAAAAGATTTTAGTTATCTGAATCAGATGTATGCTGCATTAAGGACTAAAAATCAATTTGTGCAAACTATACCCTTCTAAACCGTAATATTCAATTTGTGAACGAAATTTTGTGTTTATAAAATTTCACAAAACTAAGACATTTGCTGATGTTTTGTTTCAGCCGCTTGGAAGATGAACGCTATACTAATTCACTACATAAAGAATGGTTTTGTCTAAGCGAATTGGTGAAACATTCCTCGAAAATGCCCGATTCAGAAAGTCGAGTTTTTGAACCAGTTGCTCACTTTCAACTTCTTTCAGCGCTTACAAGCCTGAAATATTTATGGTCCAATAAACAACATAGTGATGGTTTTCTTGTGGAACTTCGCTTTATATTAGGTAAACAGTACATAACTTCAGTACAAAATGCCAACTGTTATTAAAAGTTTCTATCGGTTAGAAATGCAAAAGTGTTGTAGATTGATTTGAATAAAGCTCTGTTAGGTACCATTTGATCCAAAGGTACAAGTTAGTAATATAATAATTTCAAAAATGGTTACACAAATCAGAATTAAAAATAATATTACAGAAGCGAATATTTCAATGATTGAGATTGATCTGGAAACGAAAGACAAGCAGAACAGAATTACAAATTGTGATATTTTTTTTTTCTGCATTCAGTGGATCCGTTTGGCTAGTTTTCTTTTCTTTTTTTTTTTTAATCCATTAGATCATTGACTAGTTAGCCGCTATATAGTTCATAAAATAACCGCTCGATTTGGTGATCTGAATGTAAATGAATGCTCGATCTTCAGCCGACATAACTGTGCAATAAGTCTTATACAAAATCATATCCAAACTAGCAACACTCAATACTCCCAATTTCTGTAGTTGTAAATAGACCAGTTGTAAATAGGAAATAAAACCATCAGTGCTCTTATAATAGCCCATCCCAATTTAAAAAAATCTTAGCTATTCTACGAATAGCAGTAATCGCAATAATGCTTAAAAACAGGTGTCAGTATTAAAACTAATATGAATGATTTCGAGCTGAATTTCTCAAAATTCAAATGCAAGCAAAAATCGTAATTTTTCCAACTGTATGTTCACAAAGAGGCCCAGTTTCCGACTCTTTGTACTTCATAATTTTTAGATGTTAAATACATTTGCTAAAAGTGATAACAAGATATTAGAAGATATAGAATATATCAATGCCATATTACGCAAAAGATTTGCATTAATGATGGAGTGTCAGAAGAGTCTGAAATACACTATTCAAAGTTAGTTAAATTGGAATGTTTCGGAATAAATTTTTATATGAACTGCTTGTATATGTTTAGATAAAGAAATTGAAGATAAAATTAGAGATAGATAAAATTTTTATAAGAACTAATAATGTTGCAAATTGGCATGTACAATGAAAACATTTCATGATTGACTATAAATACTTATCAGAATTTTTTCCCAGTGGTAAGTATTGACCGGAAATTTTTCCAACATAGCAGTTATAGAAATTGAAGAAAATGTCACAAGTTCTTCATTTTTTAAATCTTTTTCTTTTTGTTATTATTCCATTATTCTATTCAAATAATATTATCAGCAGTTCGGTTTAAAAGTTATTTTAGAAATCGGAGAGTATAAGATGCCATGTATGCTGAATTTTGAACAAATTGAATTAATAGTGTTTTACGATACTCCTAAAAAGCCATCGTCTATTAAAAGTCGAAAAATGCAGTCAGTGATGATGGAAAAAGGGATGATGAAGATGACAATGGGGCGAAATATATGGATGACGAAGAAAGCAAGCTAAATGAACTAGTGGACAAAGAAAACGTAGGTTGAGGAAATCCGTTCGTTATATTCGTTTGAGAAGCAGGTCTGACATTTGATTGAATTAAGATGAAATCATAATTGTATAGAGTTAAGTACTTTTGTGAAATTTTATCAAAAGCATAGTATAAATCCCATTAATCGAACTGATAAGTGACATAATTGCTCTATATTTAAATAAATGGACACTGATTAACTAATAATTCTTTGATTAAAAAAGTGTGAAAAAATGAGAACATAAGGAACTGGTAATGTATTGATTGATATTGTAGGGAGATTTACCAAGAAATACTACTCAAACAAAAATTAACGAAGGGAAAACTATTGAGATTGAGCAACTTAAACGGAGAATAACTAAAAGTATGGGTCAACAAAGGCTGGTTGCTGAATCACAGTTGTTGTCTTTTCTCATGCCACTTAGTTTTGCTTCTATCATTCACTTAATTGAAGTAAGCTCAAGTTTATTTTTCATTTTTTTGAACTCTGTGTTACAGTAACTACTTCCTGACCCAAAAATTTTAAAGTGAAAGAAAAATATGTTCCCCATACTTTCACATTGAAATCTACCTTATTTTCAGCCCAAATTTTTAACAACACTATTCATGTTATGACTTAGATGTTAAATAACTATAATATCTTTCAGATATGAAATTTGAAAAATAAGTGTATTTAGTTCAGTTGCGAAGGGAAAACTGCTGAGATTTGTGCTTATTTATGAAATAATGTTGTGTTTTAGTTGTTGCCAAAGAAGAGGAAACAAACAACGTTTTTACTAGAAACTTTAGGCAGATTATTGGAAGAAATTTTACCCAAAAAAAGCAAGAAAATACCACTCTTATTGGTAGGTTTTGGATAATAACACATTTTCAGTAATAACACTCACATAAATATTGACGTATTTATTTATGTGCAATTAATAAGATAACTGATAGGTTAAACCTTTTATCAAATTGTTTTTTTAAATTCTTCTTCAACTTGCTTAATTATCCGTTAATTTCAAAGTATATTACTAATTATTTGTTCCTACTACTTTTTGCCATTACATTAGTTTTTGTTGAGTTATATTAGTGGTATCAATTATAGCGAAATTTTTGTTTTAATAGGTTATTAGTAACCAAACCACTAGTGGTTGCCGTTATCTACAGGTTTTCCTAACGCGGTATGAACTGCACAAAATTCATTTTTATTTTGATAGTTTAATTTAGCTAATGTCTAACTATCTGTTAGGAATATCAGCATGTTAGTTTCTTCCTTATCTGATATCCAAAACTATCCAAAGTTTTTCCTATTGCATTATTTCAAATTTTTATCAATTTGCTTTAAATTCAAGTAAATTTTAACACAGAATTCTGTTCTCCATTGTTTAGGTATCCCGAAAAACTGCTACAAAAGAGTTTTGGAGAATTACAATCCAAAGATTATTTGGCATTCAATTCAATCCGTTATTCCAACCTTATTTGCTATTTTAAACGGTGCAGTGGACTATTTTAAAAACATCATGAATACATCCTCCGTCTTCGATGCTACCAAACGCACCTATTACATTGACATGAGCGCTCTCATGCATTCATCACTAGTCCTTTTTTATAATATATTTTCATCGTAAGATTTTTTTTTCTTTTTGCACAAATTATTGGCTTACTATTTTGTAACATTGGATAAGGTAAATTTGTAAAGCCAAATGTTTGTCTTCCTATTCATCATATTAACTAATTGTACCATTTTGATGCATTAAATAGTTCTCAGAGTAAATATACTATTTAAAATATTTGAATCATTAGCTGAAATTGGTTGATGATTACTTTCAGTGTGGATTTTATGAAAACATCCAAAGATGGTTCAGAAGAGGAAGAAAGATCTCATCATTTAAAAATGGAACGTCGAAAATCACTTATGGAGAAGTTGGAAAGAGCGATGATTGATGCTGCTGTCGTTGAAGATACACAAGGAGTAGATGATGCAGAGGTTTCATCCATAATTTAGTTTCTTGAAATAAACTACGACACCTTTTCAATCAGTGTAATTAAATTCATCAAGAATTAAACGAATTCTATTCTTTTTTTTTCTTTTTTTGTGTGTGACGAATAGAAAATTCTATTTTTTTAAAACTATATCCATGGCCTTTTTCTTTCTAGGATGTTGTTTCCAACTATTTTATAAGTTTTTCCGAAATCGTTCCCACACTGGACTGTGCTGTTTCTCTACTTCAGTTACTTTCCTGTGATTTCATTGATGAACGACAGAAATCCAAAGTTGGTAAGTGTTCGGAAATTGAATGTTCTCAGAATAGCAGATTTCAGCTTTCAAGTATTAGAGTATGACCATTTTTAAAAACTTAGATAAGAATTGATCTTAATTATAAAGAAAGAATAAAGGGTATAAACAATAGTTATGTATGGATGGTTGTTTTCAGCAAAATCAGCACTTGCGTATTTAAAAAGAGAATGGTCTGATGTAGAGGAAAGACCGGTGAAAGGTGCAATATTTAATCAAGCGGTTGCAAATATTTTGAGGTTGTCAAAATTTTTATTCATTTTTTTTTTTTTTTTTTAACTGGCAAATGTTAGCTTTGGTTTATGCATTTAATATGATGAATCGAACGACCAGGCGTAAATATAAGTGGAATTAGCTATCCATATGCTGCATTAACATGCATTTAGCTTACTTAGATGATGCTAAAAAACTTTTTAGAATCAAAAATGAATATGTTATAGATTATATCTTTCATTTCGGGAACAAACTGAGCGACTTTCTGCGATTCAGTGGCTGTTAGCAAATAAAGTATCTGAGTTAGTTCCAGAAGATGAGCGGCGACGAAGTAAAATTTCATCGTTAGAATCATGTCACGACAAGGATTTGAATGATGATGAAAGATCTCTTTTTATGTGTTTTAGCAAGTATGTCTTCATGAAATATTAATCAATATAAGTCTATCCATCATCAGCTGAATCTTCTAAGTATGATAACGAGTAATATCTGTTTATTTTATTTCAGAACTACTTTTGCTTCCGTTTATAAAGTTTTGTTCTGTTCACTGAATGAAACTATCAAAAATGTTTTGTCATTGCAAGCGATTGAGAGGGGCAAATTACAGCATGATGAATGCCTTGCATTTTGGAAGGTTGCCACTAGTAGTTTCTGTTTATTAACTCTACTAATTCGTGTCAAGGTATTTTTATATATATCTTTAAAAATCTAAAGCTAAAAGAAAACTGAGTCATATTGCATAAATATCTTCATGATATTTTTTCATGATGATTTTCTTTTTAATTCAATGAAAATCAAATTAAATGCATGGGGCGTAAATAAGTTTTATGCTAGTTTTTTGTTATACCTATGTTTTAGTTATGAGTTTGTGTAGAGTTAACTTAGTGTATTTTTCACTTTTTCCTGAAATATTTCTTATTAATTAAGCAAGAGAATTCTGTTTTATTTTATCATTTATTTAGGAGCTGCGGAATGCTAGTGTATTGTTAACTGCTGCACGTGAAGGACGGTCATTTTTGCAGAGTTTTGTTGTCAAGAGTTCTTTTATGTATTTGCTATCTGATGAATCCAGGTTTGTTTTTGATTTTTAACTTTCAGTTTTAAAATATACAGTATCACCCTTTTTTTTAATCCAATGAAAAAAATTTTTTAAGTTCGGTTGAATAGTGCAACTGCTTTTGTGGATAGATATTATAGGAGTTGTTAAATAATTAGTTATATTATGCAGTTGATAAGCTAACATAATTGTATTATACATCTGATAAGTTAGAATAGCAAGCAGCATTTTCAAGATTTGCGAGATATGGTGCAGAAGCAACTGCCATTCTTAAAACGGTACAGATTGGTAATCGTTCATTACAGAATATGAGTGCTCATGCAAAGGTTATTTTAGTTTTTACTGCACTCCTTTTATCTGTTTAAGTGATGCTTGAACTAAATTTATGTTGTTCATAACCTTATGAGATAAGCACTAATTGTTTTGTTTGAATACAATTAATTGTAAATGGATTTAATTGTTGCACGTTTTTAACAAGTTGAATTCGAACATTATTCTCCTTATAGGATATTCATCTTTTTTTTGTAAAATAATAAAAATATCTCTGCAATTTCTTACCTTTTTATCAATTAAATTCTTTTACAGAGTACCAAATGCACATCACTACTGAAGTTGTTACCTCAGCTGAGAGCAACATCAGAGCAGTTTATTAGAACAGTTCATCAATTGATGATTGGTGTCGACTGTGATAGTGCATTTCAAATTGGACTGTTAAAGAGCAGGAATTTAGATGTGTCTTTTTGCTTCTTTTTCCCTATCTGAAATGATAGTGTTTATTTTCTAGACATTATTTCCTTACAAAATTGAGAAGTTTGAAAGTGACAATTCTTAAAAATCAGTTGAACGATTAACTATACATTTATATTTTTTTAAAAATTAAATCCTGATTAAGGGTGAAGAACTGAAAGAAGTGGAAATGGAAGTAGCAGATTCTGGTGCTGATGATTCACAACAGGGTTCCGCAACTGGTGAAGATGGGAACGGTGATATGGAACTTATAGAGGTTCATTTCTTAATTGAAGTATTTATGAAAGATATATCATTTTCTAAAATTGTAATTTATAAATAAACATAAATAAATGAATAAATGTATGCATTCATTTATTTATATATTTTTGAACCATCTTTCAATGTATGTGTTCGGCTAGAAATGTATAATAGTTTTAACATTTGATGAGAAGCTTTAAAGGTCATTTTTCAGGAACAAAGCGATACAGATATGGATCTGAATGATGATAGTCCAATTTTTAGTTTTCTTTTCTCTTGCCGCTTTTTAAATGAACATTCCACATTTTTTTTTTTTTTTTTTTGTGTATGTTGAATATTTTTTCACTCTTATTGCTGTCATTGAATTATTGTATGAGTAATGAATAGCCCGTATGGCAGTTATTAAGGTTCAAAATTGCTGAAAAATTTCACGACGAAATAATTTCATTTTTGATTCGTAAAATATGAAGTAATCTGTAAAAAAGCTCACATATTCATGCGATTAAATTTTTACTGTTGTTTTCATTTGTTATTACAAAAATAAAATTATTTCAAAAATTACTCAAACCGTATGTGGTGTGTGATAATCATGATTATTCATAAATAGTCATTTTTCATTCTAATATCTCAATACTTAAATATTAGAAGTGAAAAAACATCGTAAATAATTATCATTGTAAAAGATGAGCAATTAAAGGATGAAAATGAAATAAGAGTAGTAATTTTAGGAATAATTTCTTGAAGAAGTGATTTCAATGCGAATTAAAAATAAAATGAAATCAGAGAGGTAATTTTGAGAATAATTTGCATTAATATTTTTACTTCATCATGTTTTGTTGTAAAATGAAATTTAAAAGATTGAACACTGATTTGCAGTAAATGTTACATTAAGTGGTTTTTTTTGATTACGATTAAAATAATGGATATAAAGTAAATGGTTTGAGTTAAATTAGTGTAATATTTACACTAACGAATGTTTTATTCGAGAAAAATGCGTTTACGGTTGTATTATGTAAGCCATACTGTATTTAGGGTTATACCACATGAATCTATCAAACGATTTTCAGTATGGATAATCTTACGTAATTTCTTGCTTTCTAGATACAAAAATGATTTAAATTTTCATTTAAATTTTCCAACAATTTCAGTATTATTTATTAATGGAACTAATTATTACTTCAACAGTATAAAACTAAGCAATAAGCAATTCAGTCAATTTTTTTTGCTGGTTTTTCTTAAATATAGATATAATCTTTTGTTCTTCCATTTAAAATTACCTGGAATTATTTTTTATCTAAAGATTTTCTTTAACAGTTTCAGTATGTATAATTTATTGTTAACACTAAATAATACACTTTTTTAAATTAATTTTGCTTTTTAGATATAGAAATAATCATTTATACTTTCCTCTGAAATTGTTTTTTTCAACAATTTGAACATTACTTGTTAAAAAACTGAGCAATAAAATCAATTTTTTGTCTTAAGAATTCATATTGATTATTTACATTAAACATTTGAAATCATGAATTATTGATAGCAATTTATCAATTTTCTTCTGTTTTTGCTAATAGCATTTGATGATACTGAATTTGTTGTGGCCAGTAATACTTTTGTAGAATGCTGAAAATTTTTTTGATAAAAAAAGAAAAAAAGAAGTTTATTTATTAAATTTTTCTCATCCCATTTACAGTTTTTAATTAAATAAAGATGAAATTTGTAAATAAAACAAATTGAATACATTTATGAAATATTTATAAATTATTTAAAACTGGTATCTTTTTTCGGAATTGCTAACCTAAATGTTTCTCATTAATTGCAAAAGTTTTATTCCGATTTCCCAAAGTGTGTTATTTAGATGATTAATAATTATAATCACCATGAATAGATGATTTATTTCTGTTGTTGATTACTTATATTTCCTATTGATCAAATTCTTGTTGCCTACTGTTATTATTATTATTATTATTATTGATTCTTTAATAAAATTAACTAAAATTAATTTTAACATTTAAAAAAAATTGAAATCATTTATGATTGCAAATTTATTTAATTTCTGCGTTGAAAGTTTTCTTTAAAGTTAATATTTAAAACTTTTTTTTTGCATGAAATGTCAAAAATCCTCGACAAAATATAAGCAGATCAAGTGTAAGGCAAATAAAAGTAATCAATTAAGTTCAAAAAATATTTATTTTTAAGTGAATTATATTTTTTCAGCATTAGTAGAAGTTAATTAAAATAGAATTAAGAAAAATTAAAGCTTTTTTGATATTTTATTTATAAAAACTTTAAAAAACTGTCGAAATTTCTTAAATAACCCTATCCAAGATTGTGACTAAAATTAATTTTAATATTCAAGAAATAATTGAAATCGTTTACAATTGCAAATTTAATTAATTTCTGCATTGAAAGTTTGCTTTGAAGTCGATTTTTAATACTTTTTTTACGCATAAAATGTCAAAAAACCCTAAAAATTATTGGACCGCACCGTTATGTTGGAAAGACATATTTTTTTTAATGAATAACTATTATTCTTTAAAGGTTTTAACACTTAATTAATATGATATTTAACCATACTAGTAATTATTTCTTAGTCTAATACACAAAAACTGTTACAAACTATAGTATTTCCACAAAAATCAATTTTTAAAATAGAAATAAAGCTTAAGCCTAAGCCTAAGTTCGCCCTAAGCCTAAATCTAAGCATGAAGTTTATTTTATTATTCATGCTATCAAATAACCACACTGTACTTGACCAGTTTCCGTACAATAGTATAAAATAATTAATTAAGTTGAAAATGAATATTTTTTTAAATGAATTACTATTCATTAAAAGTTTTTACACTTAGTTAAAATGAAATTTGATAGAATTAGGATTTATTTCCTAGTTTAATATGCAAAAAATCATACAAATCGTGGAATTTTCATAAAAATCAATATTTAAATTTGAAATAGAAAATAATTTTAATCGTAAGAATGAATTAAAATCGTGACTAATTAAAGATTTTATTAATTTCGCCATTCAAATATTTTTAAAACTTAATTATTTAAATTTATTTTATTACTTATGCTAATCAAATGACCACACCGCATATGACCAGCACCCACGCAATGCATATAAATTAATCAATTAAGTTCAAAATACCAATTTCTTTTAATGAACTGATATTTTTAATAGTTTTAGCATCTAATTAAAATGAAATTTGTAATACTACAATTTAATTTTTAGTCTAATATGCAAAAACTCTTAAAAACTATAGGATTTTCACAAAAATCAATTTTAAAATTTGAAATAAAACTTAAGCCTGAGTTTAACCCAAAGCCTAGGCGTAAAGTTTATTTTATTATTCAAGCCGTCAAATGGGCACACTTTATACGAACAGTTCCCGTACAATGCATATAAAATAATTAACTAAGTTCTATTTATCTATTTTTTTTTTGATTAACTAATATTTTTTAATAGTTTTTACAATTCGATAATACTACAATTTATTTCCTAGTCAATATACAAAAATTCTTACAAATTGTATAATTTTTATAAAAATTAATATTTAAATTTTATATTTATTAAAGATTATTTCGCTATTTAAGCTTTCAGCCTTCCAATGTTAAGTTTGTGCGTCATTTTCAACTATTTTTGATTTTCAGGAAAATATGAATTAGAATTGAACTTTCAAAATTATCCAGCATTTTGCTTATGGTAATATATTCGAGCAATGATGATCTTTGTTTTGCAGTAAAATTTTTCTCACAATATTACTTGAATTTGAATCAATTTCAATTGTAAAAAAATTAATAAAATGGAAACCAAAAGGAAAACAAGATAAATTATACTAGATATTCTCTGCACTCTTTGACACGCTACTTATAATTGCTCAGTGGTCATTAAAGTTTATTCCACCTGCTGTATGGTCGTGTTTTTGCATGAATTTAAAGATGGCAGCAAATTTTATAGTCTTTTGTTGTATTTTGCTTGCATAATATCTGCAAATTCCATGCAGGCGTTTCTGATCTTACCGCTATTTATGTGCTGCTGTAAGGACATATCATCAATTCAAACACTAAAGTGAGTCATGCCAGCATTAACGTTTGCATTTCTTTTCTAAATCATTCATTGCAACACTGCCTACAACCATAGACTACGTGTCAAATAAGCTAAAAGCATCAAAAAATTGTCGTCTTTTATTTTACCAATATGCACGCACGCACAACACCAATATGAATGAATGTGCCATGTCCATTTTGATGACAGTAATGGTTGTTGCAGAGATGAATGAGTGGGTGCAGTACATTTTCCTTCAGCCAAATGTTCATATGAATTTTTTTTAGCTATAGGCGCTGCAACTGGCAATGCTGGCAGTACCGATGGGACGCTGCTGCTATATTATGTCAATCAGTTGTTTCGTATCGATGAACTTTCCTCTGTACATTATGGAACGACTAATTTTGCCTACTTATATGATATACCCGAATGATTAATAAAGAATGTAAGGATGAAATCTAAAAGTGATGTTAGAATAAAAGAATTCGAGGCGATTTTGCATGAGCATTTTGTACTGTCATCAGGGCTGCACAGTGATACATACACACAATGCACTAAGATTTTTGAGAATTCAAGGAGAGCAATGAAAGTCTGTGAGCTACTGGCAAATAAAATAAAAAAAAGAGCTAAAACTCCACAGATTTAATTAATACTCTTTTCTGCAATTGCTGAGATAATTGTTGGTTTCTGCGTTGTTATTCATTGAGTAAAACCCTTTTTTTGTATTTCTAGTTAAGGATTTGACAATAAAAAATTTCAAAATTTCATCGTTACATAATGAAACAACAGGATTTCAAAAAAGTCTCTCCTATTTTTCTTAAGTGATTTTTCAATCTGCATATAGTTGATTCTAATGAACAGTTTAGTTCTAGTTTATACAACTTTTTCGAATGTGAAGGAGGATAAAACTGTTCCTGAAGAATTATTAAAGAATAAGGAAATTAACTATATATATATATATATGTTTCTGAAGAAAGAAAAAGTATATTTCCTAAAGTGAATTCTCTTTATTTATAAAAAGTGAAATTAATAGTAGTTGTGAAGTAATAGCAATGAAAAGCAGAAGCGATCAAATTGATAAAATTGTAGAAAAATTGAGCAATGCATTTTTATGATCAGCCAGCTATTGTAACAATACCTATAAAAGAAATAAATCATACTAATTCGGTTAATAGTATGTTGTTGATGAGGACAATTTTGGGGTGGGGTAGCCAAGTAGGTAAGACAAAGATTTTCGATGTCGCTGTGCCAGAGTTGGAATCTTTCTATGCAAGCCTTATATCAATGATGGTAGC